TCTGGAATTCTGTGAATCTGTCCCAGTTCACAATGTGAAACTTTTAGTTGTTGCAATGGATTAAGGAGAAAGTAATTGGGCCACTTTGACATTAGGTTGCTTAAGAACTGTGTTCATAAGCACTGGGAGAACAGAAGTTCAATCTGCCTTTGACATGGAAAGAAGCATTTGTATTATGTTAATTGGATAATAGTAAAATCCTGAGATGTGTTAATTTGTTGAGGAGGAATGGATTAGACTGGAGATGAGGATACTCTGTCATTGGATGATGAGATTTTTTGGATATACTAAGGTCTGGTCTCACAATAAGGATTTTGATAAAGTATTGTAAAGTCACTGTGACCTGAATGACTGCTAACATGGAAGAGTCAGAAATAGAAACAGATTTATGTTTAGCAATGCATTAATGTACACATGATCATATTTAGCTCCATTAATATGTAAACCAGATGACTTGGATTATTAGTGGGCATTCTTGAAGAACACATCTTGTGTGTTTTCCTCTATAAGCCTCTGTTCATCGGCTTGTTCTTTTAAACTAAAGCCATGATGACCTTGACACCTTTATGATATATAGGAGCTCCCTCTGACTTCAGAATCGCAGCAGCGACATGTGCACATGGTGAACAAGACGAAGGGCAAGTTTCTCCCTGTGTTTCAATACTTTTTAAAAAAGCAAATATCAACACCCACCAAGTTTTGATGGTTTAATAAGAAAGTGAATCAAGGAAGTTGGAGAGAACAAACTGCTACTTCAAAAGACAGTACAAACTACTACTACAAACTCCTTCAAAAGCTGTCAGAAGTTCAGACTCAGTTAAACTGTTTGTGAATGTCTGTATTTTTGCTGTGGTCAGAACAGCCACAGTCCTTCACCACTGCAAATTAATAATATGCAAATTCAAAAATTAATACTAAGGCACAGCAGTGATCTGGAAACTCCTTCCTAGTTAACTCCAGTGAGCGTGTATGGCAGGTGCTTTTCCATGCCAAAACACAGGTGATCAGAATTTTTGCAGCTCAATTAAAAATTCCTGCAATCTGTGGCCTTAATTCCACAAATCCAGTTTCTGCTCTGAACATCCCAGCCACAACAGTGGCCTTCACACTTTCTTCTCCTTACATCCCCCACTTGAGCAACATAAACACACATACTGAGGCATGGAAAACAGAATTTCAGCATAATTCTGGTAAAAACCTATTACAATATCACTGATAATTCATTTTCATCAATAAATAGAAATAATGCACAACCCTGAGGTCTGTGTTTGAAGAAAAACTACAGTGATTCTCAACAGAGAAGAAAATGAACTATCCACAGTTATCCTGAGGTCGTGCATTTGGAAATGTTGTTTGTGTAGGATTATCCTCTTCAAATAAAATGTCAATTTAATCAATAGTAAATTGAGCTGAAAACAACACACAGCTTTGAAAACACTTCAGGAAGGCATCCAATATTTTTGGGACTCGAGCCAACAGAAATGGAAAGAACAGAAGGTAGCGTAGGTGGGGTAAATGGGGCCTAGCTGCTGCCTCATCAAGTGCTTATAACAGTCAAAACCATATAACAATCCATTAAAAACCTATCTGGGGACTCATCTGGTAGCTGGCATCCAGCATGGACTTCTCTCGTGTATCTTTTATCAAACGTTATAATTGTTCTTCACGTTTAGGACTTACCGGTCTTTTCCTGTTTCCTTCTTGAACACTGCATCACAGTAACTCATGCGCTTTTCTGTCGTCACGTAGATTTTGGCAGCTGGGAAGCTGTCAACAGTCTTCTTCAGCATGTTGTACACAATGCCGTTTCCATCCTTCCTCATGTTTCGAAAAGGTCCCCAGATCACGTAAACGGTGGTGTTGGTTTCTTTGAAAAAGTACTCGGGGTTCTTGAGCAGGAGGGGAACGCTCGTGTGAGAGACGACTCTTACGGTTGTCCTCTTCCCAACATCCTCCTCATAGCCCTTCGTGGGAGCGTTGTTCATCCTCCATATGCAGGAGGACTTGTCTATCTCGGCTCCCACCTTCTGGCCAGCCATCTGTCCCGAGTTTGACACGATGGCACAGAGGTCACAGTCGAGTTGCAGAGGCTGGAAGAAAGAACACAAAAATATGCGGGAAATCTTTCTCCGTAAAACGCAAAGACTGAAAACTCAGTTAAAAGAAAGACAGGCGCAGTCCTACAAATTGATAGCAATGCTTCTCTTTTAAACAAACCCACAACAATCCCCATGCGGTAAAGCTGGTAGAAAAGCCTACCACTACAAAGCTCTGAAGGCAATCCTTTTTAGTGAAATAGGTGGCAGGTCCAATCTTTTCCTTTGTTCTCCACCTTGCAAAGCCAACCAGAAAAATAATCATTCCTTTTCCCCCTCTAAATGTTACTCTTTCCACTAGAAAACAATGAAAGAGAGAAGCAGCAGCAAACAATATTTAGATCAATGCTTTTTTCTCTTTTAACAAGGTGCTGTCAGCAATAGGAAAAAAAGGACAGAAAAAGTAATGCTGGAAATTTAACTATACACTGACTGCCTTTATGTGTCTGAATGAATAGTTTCCAAATTTGACAGAAGTCAAACATGAGATGTAACTCTAAAAAGCAATCTAGTAGTATGAAAATCCTGCAGTCAGTTGGAAAGGGGGTGCAGACAGAGGAATACATTGTCCTCTCCAGAGAACGGCTACGACCCATGAAAAATGAGAGGCAGATGGACTGGTGACACGTGAACCGGGAAATTAATCCTGGGCAAACTGAAGTCAGAGACAGTATTTCCTCAGCACATTCTAAGGTACCATTTCTCCAGGATGAATTGAAAATAGGAACAATTATCTGTCTAACAGAGATATAAGGACCTGGCTGATCTGCTTGTCAGAGTATAAGTAGTAAATGCCTTTTGGTTTCTTTGTACCAACAGACTAAAAGGAAATGTCTTGTATTTAAGTTGGATTGTATAAAAAGTTTGGTTCGAAATCGAAATCAAATGAAAACGAGATCCATCAAAACAAAAACACACAGAAGACGGTTCAGGCCACAGCTCATCTACAATTTTTGATATGGTCACAGATTGATCTTCTGTCATCCTCCCAATTGGGAGCCAGTGACTTCTGTTTAATGTTTGTTAGGAATAATTCCCTTCATGTTCTTTGGACATTTATCCTGACAGGATGCTAGGTGCTTTTCTGATCAGACTGGTGGTTATTTCCTTTCAAAAGCACACCTCATTTAGCTGGTGTGGATGAATATCCTGACTACATTTGACCAGTATAACCTCAGGACATGGTGGCTGACAAAACATCAAATTTCTTTGATAATAGTGTGTAATATAAGACCAAGAGATAAACATCTGAAGAGAGCCAAATTATAACAGCTAAAATATCTCATCTTTGGGTAACAAATATTGTACTGAACTACAGCACATCCTGCAAGGTTTCTGCAGTCAATCTCACGACTGCAAAGGTTTGATTTCTCTATTGTGATTGGTTTGATTTCTCTATGTGAGTGGTTCATGAAAAGTTTTACTCATTTCATCAGGAGTTAAAGGTGCCTCACTGCACATGAAAGCATTGGCAAGGCTTCCTTACAGAACACCATGTATTTTCTTATAGCTGCTGTAGTTTTAGGGAGCCGTCCCAGATAACGCTCTGCCAGCAGGGATGAAATCCCAGGAGATGCAGCTGAACACAACAGCCTTCCTGTTCACCGCTTAGTTACAGAAATCCTCTCTAAGATACATTATGAGGACATGGCTGGGTGTCCTAAACAAATCCATAAGCATAACTCACGTCCTAACATGAAGTGAATTGTTAAAGTCCCAGCAGATTAATTTATAGTTTTCAGGGTGAACTTTCAAACTAACAAATACTGAATATGAAACTGCTAGATGGGAAGAGTCAATTTGGTCAAGAATCTGATCCCATTTAAATTTGCCTCAACCTCAGTGTTGTTTTCTGTGTATGGTGGTTTGTTTTTGTTGGTTTTTTCCCTCAATATTCCTCCTTCTCCATTAAAATGGAACTTCTCTCTTAAATCTGGAATTGTTTGATTTTCTGACCTTATTAGAAAGGCATTGCACCACATTTTCTATTCACTGAGTGTAACTGTTCTGCTCGAATACACTGAGTGAGCACACTCACTCCTGCAATTATGTCCCTTGGTTTTCTAGGTCTTTTGTCGTGATTCATTTATCCTGTCCTAATTCATAAAGCGCTTTCATAATATTGAATGCTTGCATTAGGTCAACATATAATCTGCTCTTCTTCAACAGAGGCAGAGGCTTAATCCTTTCCAGCCCTGTCTCAGAATAAATGTATTTTATGTGTCCTAATACGCATATTTCCCAACAGAGATCCCAGCGAGAGTTAGGAGACTGACTGACACCCATGACAGACATTCCTCTGACTCCAGAATCATCCACTGTCTTCAGTAACATTTTATATCGTATCTTCTTCAATATATGAGAAAACACACATCAATATTCATTCACTGAAACACCACATGGAGACAGGTCAGCAGTCTGCAGTGTTGGTTTGTAAGCGTCACAGAGAAAAGAGGCAGTTTCAGTAACCCACATGCTGCAGTTCTCTCATTTTCCTCATTTAACATGACATTCCTGTTCGTTATTACACCCTAGCTCAGGTGTGGCTGTCCCCTCACTTTAAGACTCAAAAGCTGCTTAACTGCAGCTCCTCTGTCAGGTGGCTTCCACAGGAGCTATTCAGGCACTGGGATTTGGGTGCCCATGGCTGGAATTGTGAAGCACCTGGGTAGTTGTGGCTGCTACTTCTGCTACTGAACTAGGTCCCAGCTGACAGCTCCCTATGACCCTTGAGGAGCTGGAGTGATATGCTGTTGTCCTCTTCCACCCCATATTAGTCTGGGGTCCTACATCTCTCACATCTTGTTCCCGTATGCAGATTTTTGATTGCAAGTTTGCCTGTGATAGCCCTAACTTGTATGAGAAACTATCACTTTCCCATTTAACTTGCTGTATTGTTTCTATTAGGGGTGAACAGAAGCAGAGAGACAATTCTTAGATGCAGAAACAGGAATACAGAGAGATGAAAACTTGAGAACCTAGAGAAAATGTGCCGCCTTGGTGATGTCTTTTGCATTTAACAGTAACTGTTTACAGGTGTCCACATCACAGACACCACCGAGCAATTAAACACCACCTTATCAGAGAAACCAAAAATGGGTCTGGCAGGCAGTCCAGGCTGCCCTGTCATCTGTACAGATGGTTCAGCAGCAACGGGATTGATAGGAATTGGCAGGACCGCACAGAAACCTGTGCTGTTACCGTTTATGCTCTCTGGACTGAGAACACAAATTAAGGGTTTGCTTGTACTTTTCGCAAGATCTTCATTCACTTGCCCTGCAGATATACGAGCTAAAGAAAAAACCTTAGTGATCCATTCACATTTTCTTTTCATGTATTTAGACACTCATCTCACCTCTGCATACCACGAGGGCTGAGCTATTATTACTTCTAGAAAATGATTCATTTTTTTGCTGACCAGAAGGATGTAGAAGTCCTCAGCAGAGCAGCTGGGCATGATTCTGACAAATCGTCCCATCTTTTTCCTGAATGATACATTGTAACCATCCAGGAGCACTTATATTTTAATCAGTAAAGAAAATGAAATGTCTGACCTTTCCATTTCCTGTGCAAGCTTACAGACAATAGAAAAGATAATTAAAACTCTGAATTAGAACTTGCAAAACAGTGCCGTTTCTCTAGCGAAGAGAAATAGCTGTGTAATAAAGGTCACTTATCAAACAGTTCTAGTTATTAAATCTTTGCATTTAGCACTGAAGTGGCTTCACAGAATCAAAGGTCAAATCATTAAATAACAAAACCAGCCAGAATTAGAAAAGGTCACGAGCAAATCTAACCAGAAGTAGGTCACGAACCATAATTCTCTTCCACTGAGTATTTTGGTATTTGGAAAACTGGTTACTTTCCAATTTGAAACAACTCCACTATCATTTCAAATATCTCCACCAAGGGAATGAAATTCCAGATACGGCACCGTTTCTATGTGTCTGTTTTCCGATGGCACAGACCCTGGATCACCAGTTTTCCCAGACATGGACCTGCAGTTCTGCTGAAGCCCCAGACGGGGATGATCTCAGGCCATGACTCAACCTCTTGGGCAAAACTTCAGCACAACTCAGTGGAGTCCAATGAAGCGACGTCTTGGCAGACCAGCCACGTGCCAAGCTCCCGTCTTAGCAGAGGCTAAGATGGAGCAAATCTAGCTCAGGACCTATGCGGATGTAATTTACACTAAGGAAAAGCTGAATTTCTCTTGCAGCTTCTTAGCTCTATAGGCTGGAGCGCTCGCTCCAATCACCAACTCCACTTCACTCTGTGAATCCCACAACTAATCATACAGATAGTTGGGAAATTCAGATTAAACTTTTCCAATTGTTACTTTAACAATATGATTGTAATTTTGTAAATTGGACGCAATGCCCATTCACTACATAATGAGGCAATTATTAGCAGCTCGCCACATATTAATTTGCTCCTTTAATGTTGAAACAAATGAGATCTTTTCTAATAATCATCCTATTTGAGTGAATTCTAACAAAGCTGATTGAACAAAGCTCTAGAGAGACTTTCTTTATTTCAATGCCATTTATTCTTCTACTCTTCTTGGATGTCTTTAGAGTTTTACAGGATACAACATTCATAATGATGCCAACAGGGAATAGATTTTGCCTTTATTCTCCTTGATGTTCTTTTGAGGTCTTTGAAATGAAAGGTACAAGAGAGGCATTAACAGTCTGGCATTGTTTTTATTGCTTTTCTCTACTTTACAAGCAAAAAATGTGTTTTAATTTTCCCCGTGTTTCAGCAATGATTAACCAAGCTGGTTTTATCTACACTTGCTCACTTTCTTCGGACCTCTGACTGAGAGGAAAGACTTGCCAGGTTTCTCTAAGACAAAATTCAGCACATTTAAAGAAAAGAAAGAGAGTCCTTGTGTGTTCACCCAGCAAGAGCTATCAGCGTAATTCAGCTCTCAGAAGCACCGTATATAAATCACATTATGCAAGTAACATAAAGCGATAGAAATAAAAATG